GTACAGTCATCCCTTCTCCTCTCCACTCTGCTTTTCCCCACCTGATTCCCAAGGTGTCCATCATTTCCTTCTTCCCTGCTTTTGTTGTTGTTGTAGTTTTGGGGATTGAACACAGGGCCTTGAGCTTACTAGCAAGCTCTGCCACTTGAGTCATACCTCCAGCACTTTTTGTTTGTTTTTGAGATAGGGTCTTGCTGACTTTGCCAGGGTGACCTCAAACTGAGATCCTCCTCCGTCTGCCTTCTGAGTAGCTGGGATTACAGATGTACAACATTGTGCTTGACTCTTTTCCCTTACTTATTAAACTTTCTAAGTTTGTTTTTTTCCTACATTTTTTTGAAGTTGTTTTGAGACAGATTTTTCTCTGTAGCCCAGGCTCGTCTTAAACTCAGAATCCTTCTGTCTCATCTTCCTGAGTGCTAGATTACAGGTGAGCACCACCACACTTGGCTTTTAAAGATTTTTTTTTTATTATTATTTATTTTTGTGTGGGACTGGGGTTTGAACTCAGGGCTTCCCGTTTGCAAAGTAGGCACTCACAAAGAGGCGCTCTACCACTTGAGCCACACCTCCAGTCCATTTTGCTTTGTTATTTTGGAGATGGGGGTCTCAAGAACTATTTGCCTGGGCTGCCTTCCTGAGTGCTGGCATACACCACCATGCTAGGCTTCGTCTACCAGTTTTTAAGCACCTCCTTTATCCAGGCATGTGCTGAACCCTTCATATGCATTATCCTAAGGGCTTTGAGCACAGCTCTGCAGTTGTTTTTATTTGTTTGTTTATTTATTTATTTATTTATTTTTTTGATGCTACTGGAATTTGAATTCAGGGTTTTGAGCTTGCAAAGCAGGCACTCTACTGCTTGAGCCAAACCTCCAGTCCATTTTGCTATAGTTATTTTTGGAGATGGGGTCTCATGAACTATCTGTCCTGGTTGGCCTTGAACCTCAATCCTCTCGATCTCAGTCTCTCAAGTAGCTAGTATTATAAATGTGAGCCAACAGTGCCTGGTTTCTCTACAGTCTTTTTACATGTGAGGAAATTCAGAGACAGTGTTTGTAGAGAGCCATGCAGTGAACTCAGAAATTCGAATCCAGGTGAGTCTGACTTGAGCCACCAAATGTAACCCGCTCTTTCTTCCATTCCATGGAGTACTTGTGTAAGCCAACCTGGATGCCACCTCTGCCTTCCCAGGACTTGTGGCGTGTGTGGAAGACAAACACAAAGGAAACTTCTAGGTGGATGCAAGGGTCTAGCTGTGCTACATGCTCAGAAGAAGGAGCACGGTGCTGGGAGTACTGGCTGCTTCCTCTTTGCACCCAGGGGGCACATCTCTCCGTTGGTGCCAGGCCTATACCTGCCCTGCCGTGGGGAGTATAATTTCCTCTCAACCACAAGTGCAGATAATCCTGCACACATAACACACTGCCCTGCTGCAACCTTGGCAGCTTGGCCACTGCAGCTAGGGGAAGGGAGAGGGGCACATGTGAGCCCCTGGTGAGATCCGGCTTGTGGTGAACCGGGTCCTGCTTTAGTTCCCCCTGAAGTAAAGCCACGACTGCTGACCTGGGAGAAAGCCTGGAGACAGTGGGTAGAAAAGACACAGAGGTGGGGACTCTGGGTGGCTGTGGCAGTTGCAGTTTGGCTCTTGTTATTTTTGGTAGTACTTGGGTTGACCTCAAGGCCTTCCCCTTGCTAGGCAATGGCTGTACTGCTTGAGCCACGCCCCTAGCTCTTTTTACTTTTGTTGTTTTACAGATAGGGTCTGCCTCATTTATTTTTGCCCTTTTTTTTTTTTTTTGATGGAAATGGGGTTTGAACTCGGCTTCATGCTTGCTGGGCAGGTACTCTATCACTTGAGCCACTCCACAAGCCCAGTCCCGTGGTTTTTTTTGCCTGGGGCCAGCCTTGGTCCTTGGTCCTCCTAATTACCTCCCACATAGCTGAGATCAGAGGTGTGCACCACCCTGCTCAGTATGGGTTTTTTTGTTTGTTTGTTTTGTTTTTTGGGGTTTTTTTTGGTGGAACTGGGGTTACTGGCTTCATGCTTGCAAAGCATGTGCTTTACTGCTTGAACCACACCTCCAGTCCATTTTGATCTTGTTATTTTTGTTTTCTCCGTGCTGGGGATCAAACCCAGGGCCTTGCACATGCTAGGCAAGCACTCTACCACTGAGCTACAGCCCAGCCCAGTGATCTGGTTATTTTTGAGATGGGGTCTTAAGAACTCTTGACTTAGGCTGACCTTGAACTACAATCCTGATCTCAGCTTCCTAGGGTTTCTAGGATTATAGGTGTGACCCACCATACCCAGCTGGAGCTTGGGTTTGGGGTTCTGATTCTCAGCCCTGTCAGTTGGAAATAATTCTTTTTTTAAAAAAGACTTGTGGCTGATATAGGCTGCTTTACTTCCATAAGCCTCATTTTTCTCATGGGCAATGGCCAACAATCCTGCTTCACAGATGCCCTGGGATGTAGTTAGGTGGAAGGTGCAGAGTGCAGCCTGGCACATTTCTAATTGGCCCTTCCTGCTGGGTGTTTAGCCTTCCACTACACTGGGTTTTCGGCTGACCTCTGATTGTAATCACACAAGGTTGAGTCACTGCTGTTCTACAGAGTCAGTGAATCGAGAGACTGAAAGGAAGAGTTTTATTAGCAAAAAGTTAGCATTGCTGGGAGATAGCAGGGTGTCTCCTTCAGTGACCGTGTTCCTCCTTGCTCTAAGGGAGAGTTGCTTTTATGATTTTTTAAGAGAAGCTATGTGGGTCCCAGACAGGTGGGTGCCCCAGTTGTCCAGTGTATCGAAAAATAGCCTCTTCTGAAATGTGGGCTGTGGATGTCTTATCTCATTCACATAGGTCATCACCAATTGCAGTCCAGTGGATCTAAAGAAGACATAAATGGCCAAAGTTTCTGTGTGGATTAAAGTGGCCTGTGTCTGGTTTTTGTTGTGGCTATCGTTTTTGGCAAGCATCCTTCTAGGGGTGACCTTCTCTTTTAAGTTGGGATGAGGCAGTGCTTGGGAAAGGAGGGTTTGTGCATTCCTAGCTAACTTTAGTGTGTGTTTAATCTATAAAAGAGCAGTAAAAGCAGAGCAACTTCTGAGAGTCAGGACTCCAAAGGGGGTACAAGGAGAGAACTTACATGCATTTTTGTGGTCTGAGGAGGTGTGATGGCCCCCTGGCACTGCTTGCCATTGTGCTCTTTCCAGTTCCCACAAAGGACACACTGGCTTCACTTTTTGTCTTTTTATATTCTGTTCCCCCTGTCCAGATTGCTCCCCCGCTAGACTGCTTGTATCCTGTAGGGCTCAGCTCTCCCTTCTCAGAGGAGCCTTACCCTCTGTCCTTGCTGCTGTGGGAGGATAGGAATCACACTCATCTTTGCCTGCTCAGCATCTGGTGTCCTCGCTAGACAGTGAGGACAGGTGTTGTGGTTCCCAGAACTCTGTCCAGGGCTGGGAATGAAGCAGATGCTCAAATATTTGTTGAGTGGTTTAGTCTGGGCTTACTGTGGGAGCTGGACTTGGCATTGAGAGGGCATTGAAGCGTGTGGAGTGGTTTACCAGGTGATGGGAGAGAAGAGAAGGGCAGAGGTGTGCTAGAAGTCAACCTAGCCAACATCGTTTTATATACTTTCTGTATGACTTGTAGCTATCCTGCTAGAATTTTACATGTGTGATCTCCTTTAACTCTCATTAATATTTTCATGACATGTTTTCTATTCTGTAGATAAGAGGACACATGGAGAAGTCACAGGAAGTCACTTTGCCTTGTCATTCAGAGAGAGATTTGAACCTGGGCAGTCTGGCTCTTAAGAACTCAGTCTTGGTTGGGTGTGGTGGCATACTCTGCTAATCCCAGTAGTCAGGAGGCTGAAGCAGGAAGAATGAACTGCAAGTTCCAAGTCAGCCTAGGCTACCTAGGGAGACCCTGTCTCAAAACACTGAGGGGGGAAAAAAAGCCAAGTGCTTGTGGCTCATGACAATAATCCTTAGTGTTCAGGAGGTAAAGATCAGGAGGATCACAGTTTGAGACCAGCCTGGGCAAAATACTGAACACAAAACAGGTGCCAGTGGTTCGTGCCTGTAATTCTAGCTACTTGGGAGGCAGATAAGAGGATTTCAGTTTGAGGCTAGCCCAGGTAAATAGAACCTATTTCTGAAACACCCAACACAAAAAAGGCTGGCAGAGTAGCTCAAGTGTCAGAGTGCCTGGTAGCAAGCGTGAGGCCCTGGGTTCAAAACCCAGTGCTGCAGAGAACAAAACAAAAAACTCAGAAACCTAAGGGGCGAGTCTGTGCCTGCTATAGCAATGGGAGACAGACGGTGTTTGTGGCTAGACTGGGGAGACCTCAGATGTTAGGATAAAGAGTTTGGCCTGAAATAATGAGAATAGTAATAACTACTAATTCTTGAGTTGCCTACCTTTTTATTGAGTTATTTAATCTTTACAACAGCTCTGTGGTGTAGATGTTACTATTATTTTTGTGTTTTAGTGCTTGGCTCAAACCCAGGGCCTTGTGCAGATAAGTACATACTCTGCTACTGCTAGGCATTATCATTTTCATCCCAATTTTACAGATGAGGAAACTGATACACAGCATTGTAGCAATTTGCCCAAAGTGTCACAACAACAATGTGCTAGAGGCCAGGCATGGTGTCATATGCCTATAATCCCAGCTATCTGGGAGTCAGGAGGATCTTGAGTTTGAGGCCAGCCCAGATAAAAGGTAGCAGTGAGACCCTGTCTCCACAAAAACCAAATGGCTGGGGCGGTAGTTCAGTGGTAGAGCGCTTGACCCTGGGTTCAAGTCCCAGCATGACCAAAAAAAAAAAAAAAGATCATGGTGGAGCAGCATTCAGACCTTGTGCACGAGGCCCCAGGACTAGAGCTGTGGCAGCTCACTCACCAGTCTGTCCTGCAGGCCACTAGGGTTGAGCCAGCTGGAACCTCTGTGCTGCTTCTGATGCAGACACCTCCTTTCCCTTCCCCCCTCAGCACCCCCAGAGGCAGCAGCAGCAGTTCTCATCCCTGGATGACAAGCCCCAGTTCCCAGGGGCCTCGGCCGAGTTCGTGGAAAAGCTCGAGTTCATCCAGCCCAATGTCATCTCAGGAATCCCCATCTACCGCGTCATGGACCGCCAGGGCCAAATCATCAACCCCAGCGAGGACCCCCACGTGAGGCTGCTCCCCACGCCCATGTTCCCATGCCATGTCCCTTGGCTGTCTCCACTTGGTACAAACTTTTCCTATCTGTCTGTCTGCAGCTGTCCCAGGAGGAAGTGCTGAAGTTCTACAGGAGCATGACGCTGCTCAACACTATGGACCGCATCCTCTATGAGTCCCAGCGGCAGGTGTGTGGGGACAGGCTGGTGGGGGTAGGGGCGTCAAAGTTACCTCAGGTCCCTTACCTGTGCTTGGGTTAAAGGATAGTCCCAGAATTGGAGGTGTGGCTCGAGTGTTAAAACACCTGCTTTGCAAGCACGAAGCTCTTGCAAACCCACAGACCCACAAAAAAAAAAAGGACAGCACCAAGGAGAAAAGAGTGATGGAGAGCCTTTGTGGGGGTCCTGAGAGTTCTTCTGGGACTCTAGAAGAAGAATGTGGGAGTGGTTCAACACAAGGACATAGGCTGGACCCAGTCACTAAAAACACCTGCTGTGTGCCTGGCTGGGTACCCTGTGCTGGGAGAGGACAGTGGGAGGTAGGGAGAGAAGGCCCAGGAGCTCCCCATCCTTAGAAGCAGGGTGGACCCACCGTGCTTCCTACAGGAACCACCCACAGCCACATCAAATGTGCTGTGATCCTCAGAAGTCTTAGTATCAGGACAAAGACCTTATTGATCAGTGTCCAAAGAGGAAAATTACTGACTTACAATCAACAGGCCCTTTTGGTAGCACAGCTGGTTCCAGGGGGCTTAAAATGTCATCAGACTTGTTTCTCTCTATGTAGCTTGTCTAATATTTGGTGCCTTGGCCCCTTCATTTTGTATTGTTTGTTTTTTGGGAGAGACTAGGGCTTCACACTTGCAAAGCAGGCACTCTGTTGCTTGAGCAACACCTCCAGTCCTTTTTGCTCTGGTTATTTAGGAGATGAGGTCTCATGAACTATTTGCCTAAGCTGGCCTCAAACCACAGTCCTCCCGATCTCATCCCACCAAGTAGCTAGGAATACTGGCCTCTCCTTTGTTTTTGAGTGGCAGTGGTTTCTGGCAGCTCCAGGCTCCTGGAGAGGGAGCAGAGAGAGAGCTCAGGGTACAGGCTTAGGAGCCAGTTCTGCTCTAGCTCTGTGGCCATGGGAAAGCTACTTAACCTCAGTACTTCTGTTTTCTTTTCTGCACCTGCCTCAGGAGATTGCTGTGTTGATTGATGGTGGCATTTGTAATGATCCTTAGAAACAGTGAAATGGCATTTAGCCAGCACTCCATAAATGCCAGCCATTATTAGTTATTATGAGCCTAGCAGCTTCACAGTTACTATCATTTCCATTTAAGAGAATTGTCCCTCCCCTCATGTTCCAGCAGAAGGCCCAGGGCTGAGCTTTGGTCTCAGTCCCTCTCCTGAAACAGTCTCTGTGATTGATTGGCCAGTCCTGGGCTACATGCTTACCCCCAGGAACCAAGGAGTAGAGTAGAGCCTGTGCCTCCTAGGCTGCATATACAGAGCAGGGAAGGGGTCAGGTTAGAAAAGAGAAGAGGGTCAGGCAGACAGGCCCTCTGCTGTCTGCCACTCCTGTTGGTGCCAGTCCCCAGGAGGTCTCACTGTGTCTAAAATAGCAGACCCACTAGGCAAGAGATCTGTATGGAGAAAACAAAGATGGGCAGCCCACTCCCGCTTTTCTAGTCATGAGAACACTACATGTAGCTTCTCTGAGTAAAGGTTGTGTCTTCACCCAGCCCCAAAACTTCCCTGGGCTCCCACTGTCCACAGGAGCACGTATGGCCCTTCCTGACCATGCTGTCTCCTCATTCTGTTCTCTGTCCTCTCTCCATAGCCTTGGTCTAGGCCAGGCCACTCCTGCATGCAGGGACTCCCTGTCCCTGCTTGGACTAAACAAACAGGGACTTTGGGATCTGATGGACTTGTGTATAAAGACAGTGATGCTTTTGCCTCAGTTTCTACATTGTGTGAAAAAATGGGGCTAGGATATTTGATAGTTTGTCTTCACTGGTCATATTTTGGGAGGCACTCTTTTTTTTTTTTTTCTTTTATTCATATGTGCATACAATGTTTGGGTCATTTATCCCCCCTTCCCTGGGAGGCACTCTTTATAGTTAGGGAAAAGTGATAAAGCCAAGTATAGTTGTATAATATATATAATTATCACTTGACTTAAAGTGATGAACATTACAGATAGAAGATACGATATATTGCTGTTATCATTTCCAGGTTGTAAACTAACTAAACTGATATCAGGGAAAAGTTGGTATTTAAGCAAAAAGTTTTAGTCCTTGTGAATCTACCTAACAGCATAGTTAATCGTGTGGCTATAAAATTCAGTTATATGGTTCCTGATGAATAATTTTACACAGCCTGCTTTGCTTTACTGCATGAGTGCAACTGATGGTTCAAGCTCAGAAGTAATGATTAACAACTCTGTGGTCACATGATGTGTATAGAGATAGCTACAGTGTAACAAGTCACACTATCTTGTGCTAAAAAAAAACAACAACTGTAACTGTAAAGTATTGAATGAAACTATTTTACCTGAACTAGATTTTATTTTAAAGTAGGTAGAATTTTTACTGTGCTATAACTGTTGTATATTCTGGTATTTGAGGCAATGTGGTTGCTATTTTATTAACAGAACATGAATCATGTTTAACAGAACTAAATATTTCAGAATAAATTACTGCTATATGTAAAAAATAATGGGGGCTAGGGCAGGGGATGGTGATACACATCTGTCAACCCAGCTACTTGGGAGGCAGCAGGAGAGTCACAGTCTGAGGTCAGCATGGCAAAAGCAGAAGGCCCTGTCTGGAAACAAACTAAAGGGTAAAGGATGAGGGTGTGACTCAGGTGGTGCATTGCTTGCCTAGTAAGCCTGAGTCCAGATTCTAGTACTGCCAAAAAACCAAACCAAAAAACAATGGGGCTAATAGCTGGGGATGCAGCTCGGTGGTAGAGCACATGCCTAGCATGCGCAAGGCTATGGGCTCCATCTCCAGGTCTGCAAAAACTAAATAAATAAAAATAAAAAACTTTAATGGGGTTAGCAATAGAACCTACCCTAGAGGGTTGAGTAGGGCTTCTGTGTGAGCTAGCATGGAAGGCTCCTTTCCCATTGTTGGAACCCAGGGAAAGTACTTCAGACCTGTATTTGCTAGGATTATGTTCAGCTATGAGTGACAGACCTCCCCACTCTAAAGGAAAACCTGACCAAACCCCAGTAGCTTAGCAGATGAATAGTTTGTCCTCTTGGATAAAAGAAATCGGAATACGTGGTTTGAGGCCAATCTGGTAAGACCGAGATGTCAGTGGATACCTGGTCTCCTAATAATCACTCTGATTTGCTGCTCAAAGTGTTGGATTCTCCCTTCTTCATGGTTCCATCATGATCCAAGTGGTTGCTGGAGGCATCTCTATCATGTCTCATTTCAGGTAGCAAGTAGAAGGAAGGTGGAAGTCAGACATGGCACATTCCAGCTGTTTACACAGCTACACAATTTTCTAGGGAGCTCCATTCAGGAACATCTGCTTATATTTCATTGGCCTCTCTGGGCTGCCAGGGAGACTGAGAAACAGTATTTTAGCCACTCTTGAGGTGGAATGAGATCTCTGTTAACTGAGAGGAGGAGGGTAGGACGCTGTGGGGGGCAACCAATAGCCTCCCACTAGCCCAAGTCTCATTTCCCTAGGGGACCATCTCAGATTCCTCCTTATGCTGACCTCCACAGCCCCTTGGGCCCTCAGCACTCAGCACCTGCCCACTCACTTGGCACAGGAAATTCAATTAACTTTTAATTGGCATCCCACTTAGAAGAAAGCCTTTCTTCATCGCTTTCCTCCAGCAACTGGAAAACCAGGCCTGTGGAGCATGTGAGGCGGGCACTGCTGAGCCTCAAGGGGGCTGGCCAGGGTTGTCACTCAGGGGCCATCCTGGTCTGCTCTCTTCTACCTTACACACTGTCCTGGGTGACCTTATTCACATGGTATGCCAGGGCTTCCCTAGCTCTGGCCCTAGAAGTAGCTCTCTCTCTAGAGCTACTTCTTGGAGCTCTAGACCTGTTTGGCATCTCTTCCAGTGCCACAGCAAACTCAACCTGTCCAAACTTGATTTCCGCCTCTTCTTCCAGACCTGCTCATCTTCCTCCCTTAGTCCATTTCTCAGAGACAGACACCACCAACTACCCTTCACCCACCCTGGAACCCTTGTGTTGTCCCTTTCTCTACCCCTGTCTCTGTCTCCTTTCAGTCCTTGTTTCCAGGTGCTACCTTAGGAATCGGGTCAGTGGCTCAGCAGCACCAGCAGGCACCCAGACTCTGCCTCTCTCTGCTTCATCTTTATTGACAAATTGGCATTCTTCCTGTGCTTGTTGTCTCATGCTCACAGGATGGCTGCCACATGCCCAGGCATCATGGCTCTGAGCAATGCAGAGGAGGAGGTGGGGGGGCAGAGGTAGTGCCAGCAGTGGTTCTCCTTTTCCAGGACACAAAAGCAGACTTCCACTGAGGCCTCTGGCTAACACTGTGTCCCACCCCTGGCTGCAGGCCTGGGGAGAGGAGGGAGGTTGGGGCAAAGGGACCTGGCAGGAGCCCTGTGTGGCCTGGCCACTGTCAGTACCACTAACTCAGCTTTTGAAGACTCGCCCATTTGCCCTTCCCCTGGTTCCCAGGCCAAGCTACTGCCCCTTCTCTCCTGACTTCCAGCAGTTAGCCCTGTCCCCTCCATCTGTTTCCCACATGGCTGCCTGAGAGATTTCTAAAACACAAGTGTGACCTCGCCGCTCCTTGGAGAACCATCAGTGACTACCACTGTTCTCAGAGATGTATCATTTCCTGCATTATCTGGGTGTCACCTCCCTCTCCCGCCTCATCTTCTCCCTGAGACTTTGGGTCTCAGCCCTCTGGTCTCATGCATGGTCTTCATTGCCTCTGCCTAGAGCCCTCTACCCACCCTACCTCCACTCAGCTTGGAAGTTCTCCCTGATGCCCTACTGTGGTCAGCATTTGCCTCCTTTGGGTGTTGTTACACGGAGCCCATCACTGTAGTCTCACTGTCCTGGCAGTTCTTCTATAGGCAGGAGCCCTATGTGGCCTAGCCTAGGACCAGCCTTCAAGAAGAGAGTTGATTGTGGATCTTCAGAAGTTAGGCACAATTCACATGGTTCTCCATTACTGCCCACCATCACTAAGCCTGGGTCTCTGGGCATCTCCACCCGTAGGGTCGGATCTCCTTCTACATGACCAACTATGGCGAGGAGGGGACTCACGTGGGGAGTGCCGCTGCCCTGGACAGCATGGACCTGGTGTTTGGCCAGTACCGGGAGGCAGGTATGTCTGCCCATGGGTTAGCCTTGGGGTCCCCATTGAGGCCCACACTTTTGTTCCCCCTTCCAGGAGCAGCATAATGCCATGAAATTCTAAGGAGCCAGAGAGGGAGAAGACTTTCTCCCCAAATACCAGAAATGTAGTAATTGAGCCTCAGCTCCTAGCCATTCATTACCAGTTAGTTGTCAAATCTCCTCCTTCTCTGAGCCATGTTTTCGCATTTCCAAAGTAAAATCAGGACAGTACCAGCATTGGTAGGTTGCTGGAAGGAGATAGGGAGGCCAGGCCTAGCTGGGGGTGTGGGATGTGCTATGGACTCCTGTTCACCCTGTGTAGGTCTCCTCAGGTACTGTGTCCCCCAGAGAGAGCAGTGGGGGAGTCCTGAGTACAGTGCTTGATTAGGGGATTGACAGGTGTCAGCCGGAGAGCTGAGAGAGTGAGTGAAAGGAAGGAGCAGAGAATAAGATAAGAAACTCGCTGAGCACTGATGAGTCAGGGAGCAGTGAGTGGTCACTCTGGGGTGATTGCTGGTGTGGGGCAAGTGCTCTACTACTTGAGCTACACTGTCAGCCCTTTTTTGTTTGTTTGTTTTGTTTTATTTTTGAGATAGAGTCTCACTACCTTTGCCTGGGCTGGCTTGAACTGTCGTCCCCCTGCCTCCTCACAAGTAACTGGGATCATAGGTGTGAGTGACCATACCTCACCGTACCTCACTTTGGTGAGGCAGATCTTGATCCTTCCTCTTAGGGACTTGCCCCTCTTGGGCAAGTTGCTTGACCACACTGCCTCTGTTTCCTCACTTATAAGGGGGGATGGTAATCTCAGACAGTGGTATAAGTCACAAAGCCATCAGGACAGGGCCTGGCACAGGATAAGCACTTGAGAGTTGGAGGCCAGAATTATGATTGGAGCCTTTCCTATGCACAGCTCTCTGGCATGGGTATAGGGCCAGGCCCCCTAGAGTAGATGGACATCCCAGTCTAGGGCTGTCTCCTCCTCTCAGTTGATCCATGTCCCCCATCTCCACATGTGCTAGGGTGGAGTAAACGGCCTGTGGTATTTGAGTACCAGGTTTTCCAGGCAGCTGTGGGGGGCTTGTGCAGAGGCAGCAGTGCAGGGTAAGGAATGAGGTTGACCTGCACTCCAGCACCCTTGCACTCCAACCCTGACTTGCATCCACTCCCCTTGGTGAAGTGCCTGCTGACCAATGTGAGATGAGAGATCTTCATAGCAACAGGTGACCCTCACCGAGCCCTGAAAAGCCAAGTTCCCTACTGCATTGGAGGCCCTGTCCTATCCCCTTGTGTAGCACACTGGAGTAAGGTCTGGCCTGGAATGTGTAGCCTCCTGGAGGCACCTACCCAAGATACATGAGGCAGGCATCTCTGTTAGCTTTAAAGCCAGGCGAGCAGCCAAGTCAGACAGTAAGGTCATGGGACCCAGGCTACCTGCTTCCATAGTTGTGGGGCAGAGTCCTCCTTGGGGCAGTCTGACCCAGTGACAACCCTAGCTGTTCTCCATCCTGGCTACCCTCCTGTGGTCATATGTGGAGCTCCAGCTCACAGTGCCAGGGAGTAGCACTCAATCAGTAGGACTGTAAGGACACACAGCGGGTATCCAGCTAAAGTAGCAGTTCCCGCAGAACCCATCCGTAGTTGTCTGATGCCTGTCAGAACCACCTGGGTGCTGGGCCCAATATTGTGTTTTTTTGTTTGCTTTTGTGGTTTGGGGAGATGGAACTCAGGGCCTCCTACATGCTGAGCAGGCGCTCTGCCACTATGCTACAACCCAGCCCTGAGACCCTGTATTTTTAACACCATTTCCTGGCCCTGCTTAGTGATTTTCATGTAAGTGGACCTGGGACTGCATTCTGCAGCGGCCCAATGCCAGTGTTTGGTGGCAGTTTTTGGGCTACCTCTGGTTGGCCCTTCTCAAGGCCCTTCTTTCCCCCTCCAACCTGATGGCTGCTCTTTTATGGTTTTCTGTGCAGCATAGCCATGTCATATGCAGATTTGCATTTTGCTCATTCACACATGCAACAGACAGAGGTACTAATGAACTTGTACTAAAAGTGAATGTTGACGTTGCATTAGACACCCTTGACTCTTAACTGAAATTCCAAGGACATGATTTCAAAGCCACTTGTCCAATTAGTAGTAGCTTTGCCTGTGTTGTTGTCTCAGGCACCCTTATCTGATAAACAGAACTATGTCCTTGGCCCTTTTCAGACTCCATCTTCAATTGTTCGAGTTGTGCTTTAATCTAGCTCCTTACTCTGCCACTTAGTGGTTGTGTTACATGGAGCCAGTCATTGGAGCACTCACCACTGGGTTTCCTGACCTGTAAATGGGAGGATGATCCCGCCTGCTGCGTAAAGGCTTGTGAGGATCCGTTGAGTTACTGTATGAAGAGTGCTCAGAACAGCCTTGGCACATGGTGTTATTCAGAGAGAGTAGGCATTCCCTGCACACAATGTGATCCCATTAAATTTTCATCTGAAGAGAGAGATCTACAGCAAAGAAAGGGTTTGGAGTGGCCAGGTATGGTGGTGCAGGCCTATAATCCTTGCACTTGGGAGGCTGAGGTAGAAGAGTTGTGAGTTTGAGGCCAGCCTGAGCTATGTAGGGAGACCCTGTCTCAAAAAACCAAGGGCTAGGGATGTAACTCAGTGGTAGAGTGCTTGCCTAGCATGTGCAGGGCCCAGAGTTACATGTACAGAAAAATAAAGGGGGAATTGGAGATCTCAGCACCAGACTACTTCTGTGTGACCTCAGAGGCACCTAAGGGACATTGGTGACCCACAGTGCTTTCAGGTGGGGCAAAGAGGGTCCTAGAATGTCCTCTGACAATCACAAATCCCTCCCATCTAACTTAGCAGGCAAGGCCACTTGCTTCTGCCTGAATGGTTCCCTTTGATGGTGAGTCTGGCGTCCACTAGAACTTTGGTTTGAAGAAAGGGTTTTATTGCTGTAAATTGGTAGTCTTTCCTCTCTGGGGCAGGATTGTGATTGGTGGCCCTTAAAGGTAGTACTTGAAGTTTAAAACACTTAAAAAATATCAGAATTTCTCAGAGAGAGAGAGAGACAGAGACAAGAAAAAGGGAGAGAGTGAAGAAAGAGCCGGGTGAGGTGGCTCATGCCTGTAATCATAGCTACTTAGGAGGCAGAGATCAGGAGGATCATAGTTTGAAGCCATCTCAGACAAATAATTCGCAAGACCCTATCTCGAAAAAACTCCTCACAGGGAAAGAGTTGGTAGAGTGGCTCAAGGTATAGGCCCTGAGTTCAAACTCCAGTACCACCAAAACAAAAAGGAGGGAGGAAGGTTCTTAGACTGAGGGTGGGGCTCAGTGGTAGAACACTTGCCTAGCATGCTGAGGCCCTGGGTTCAATCCCCAGTACCACAAAAAAAGAAAAAGGAAAAAGGCTGGATTTCTGCCACCTTTGGAAAAACTAGATTGTCTGGTCTGAGCCTCAGGCCTCTTTCTTGAGACAGGCCTGCACTTTCCAGTAGGCCTGCTCATCTGATCACATCTGGCACCTGTCGGTCACTGTGAGCTCTCCAGTTTCCCTACTTGCTTCAATCTGGCTCCTTTTGTTATTGTTATTTTAAGACAGGGTCTTGCTATGTGGCCCAGGCTAACCTGGAACTCGCAGTCCTCCTGCTTTAATCTGCTGAGTACTGTGATTATAGGAGTGAAACACCATACCCATCTGGTTCCTTTTTTTGTACAGTTGGGGAGTCAGAAGCTCTGGGCAGCAGGGGCTGGCCCCAGGTCATCCAGGGTTGGTCTGACCCTCCCCACCAAAAAAAAAAAAAAATGCCCACCAGACTCATGGCTGCCTCCTATCAGGTGTGCTGATGTATCGGGACTACCCGCTGGAACTGTTCATGGCCCAGTGCTATGGGAATATTAGTGACCCAGGCAAGGGGCGCCAGATGCCCGTTCACTATGGCTGCAAGGAGCGCCACTTTGTCACCATCTCCTCTCCACTGGCCACACAGATCCCTCAAGGTAAGGATACATGCTTGTCATAGCCCTGTGTGGGTCTAGCCCTTCTAGGATGCCTGGGTGGGCACTGCTGTCAGAGCCTGGCCCATGTGCCAGCTTTCCAGGTATTTCTCATGTGGGACCTTCGGTGGAAGTGGTGACCCATTCAGCACCTTCAGCCTGCACGACCACCCTCCGGATTTCCCAGGCATTGTGCCACTGCTTCCCATCTATTGTCTAATGGATCAGACACTATCCCTGGCCGTGGGAGCAAACACTATTTTTTATTGTTATTCCTACTATAAAGAACAGAAAATTGAAGTCGGGGGAGGTGACTTGCTGAAGGTCACATGGCTGGTAGAGAGGAGAGCAGAAACTTGACGCATGGGCTGTGTGACCCAGGTTCTCATTGCCCCTCATTGGCCTCAGTCCTTGGAGCCAAGCAGACTTCCCAGAGCTCACTGTAGGCCCCCAGAGTGTAGACCTGTGCCTACACAGTGTGGAGACCAAGGAATTGGACCCCCTTCCTACCTCCTAGGACCTGCAGTCTGGTGGCAGGTGGCCCAGCTAGAGCTCTCTTGCCCCAAGGCAGCCCCACTGCAGGTGTTGGTGCATCTGCAGTCCTCACACTGGACCACCTTAGCTCAGTGCTGTTTGGAAGCAGGGAACAGGGAGCAGGGCAAGCTTCCTGGGAGGGAGGTGGACTGTGAAGCGTTCTCTCAGGAGACCACATTGTGCTAAAAGTGAGCAGGATTTCCAGACGAGGATTTCCTCGTCTAACCTGCCATTCCCACACGCTGTGAGAACCTCACTTTACAGAGGGATGATGGCCTGTTATGTGCAGATGCCATGGTGGGCTTACTGAACAAATTGCAAGTCTCAGCCCTGCTGGTGCTGGCAGTGGGGTGGGGGGGCAGCACCTAGTGTGTATTGGGGAAGATATGTCTGTCAGGAACAGGAAGCTAGGACAGAGCAGTGTGCATTGGAGCAGTGGAAGAGAGTCATCATGAAATGTGACATTTAAGTACAGAACAGAAGGGGCTGAGGGAGAAAGCCATATGGGCATCTTGAGGTAGGTATGTGCTCAATTGTGTGAGGGGCACAGGGGGGGCTGTGGGGGCTAAGGGTACGTGAGGATAAAGTTGAGAGATAGGAGAGGGGTGCAGATTGGCAGAGCAGGTGGGTCTGGCCACCTTTGCCTTTTGCAGACACTTTGACCTGCAGTGGCCTAGGAGCTGAGGGGTGGGGAGGATTCCACCGTGGACTTGCCTGGTTTACAGTTTAAATCCCTTGGATAACAGATTGAGGGGGCAGTTCAGGAGCCAGCGAGAAGGCAGCTCACAAATTCAGGCATGAGGTGATGGTGACTTGGTCCTGGTGGTGTGGCGGACAGATGTGGTAGAAAAGGTTCAGATCCTGGCTATATTTTGAAGGTGGCATAGATGTGGGGAATGAGCAAAAGTTTGGAGTCAGGCATGATGCTGAAAGTTTTGGCCTGAGTAACTAGAAGGATAGCTCTGGGGTGGGCAGGCTCTGGGGGTTCCCCTCAGTGCCTGGTGACAGCCGGCCTGGGCCCCCAGCCCGGTTGGGGTGGGTGTGTATATGCCTCTCTCTCTGCTCATTCCTGTGCAGCGGTGGGGGCAGCCTATGCAGCCAAGCGGGCCAACGCCAACCGAGTTGTCATCTGTTACTTTGGTGAGGGGGCAGCCAGTGAGGGGGACGCCCATGCCGGCTTCAACTTTGCTGCCACCCTTGAGTGTCCTATCATCTTCTTCTGCCGGAACAATGGCTATGCCATCTCCACACCCACCTCTGAGCAGTACCGGGGGGATGGCATTGGTAAGGGCCCCGCTGCCCCCAGCCCCACCCTCCCTCACTGCTATCTTCCTGTGTGTCTGGAGGTGGGAAACTGAGCCTGTCTCACCCTCCTCCCTTCCGTACTCTGCCTCTGTCTGTTTCTACCTGCCACACATTTTCCTCATCTCAATCCTGGGCCCTGACCAGCCTCCTTTCTGTCCCCACAGCTGCACGAGGCCCTGGGTACGGAATCATGTCTATCCGTGTGGATGGCAACGATGTATTTGCTGTGTACAATGCCACCAAGGAGGCCCGACGGCGGGCTGTGGCAGAGAACCAGCCCTTCCTCATTGAGGCCATGACCTACAGGTGCCTGCCTTTCCCCCCATCACTGTCCCCCATGGCTCTGACAGCTTCCCTTATATCACTGTCCCCAAAACTTGGCTTGTTACCCTGTGTTGCATCCCCTTCTTCATTTTACTCTTCCCTAGTCCACCCCCTCCCGCTCTCCCAGACCCACTCCAGGGACCCCCACTGACACTGGGCCCCTCCCTGGTAGGATTGGACACCACAGCACTAGTGATGACAGCTCGGCCTATCGCTCAGTGGATGAGGTCAATTACTGGGACAAGCAAGATCACCCGATCTCAAGGCTGAGGCACTACCTGCTTAGCCGAGGCTGGTGGGACGAGGAACAGGAGAGGGCCTGGAGGAAGCAGTCACGCAAGAAGGTGAGGGCTGCCCCACATCCCATGCAAGGGCACTGGAGGGGCTGCTGTACTGGGAGAACTCTAGGAGAGCTGCTGAGGTCTGGGTTCATCAAACTGGGAGACTGGGGTAACCCCAGCACTGTCCCCAGGTATGGCCTGTGAAGCCAGGCTGCCTGGGCCATGTGACTTATTCTTGCTGCATGTCCTGGGCAAGTTGTCTATTTTCTTGTCTCTAAGGCGGGCCTACTTGTGAGGGGTGAAATTTGAGGATTAGGTGGTTTGGTCCATTTTTGGTGAGTGCATCCCATGTAGAGGCTGCCACATGCCCTCACCTCTGCCACAGCTGGAGCCAGCGAAGCAGGGCTGCCCCATGGTGTGAGTAGACCTGACTCTAGGCAGTGCCATGTGTCCTGACTGTGTCCCATTGGCATCATCCTGGGCTGGCCCCTTTTCTTCTCTGCACGCCAGTTCCTCCTCCCTGTACCTCCCTGTACCTGTACCTGCCTCCATCTTAGGGCTGCTGAGAGGCTAAATGGATCCTTACATTGGGATCTGGGGGTATTGGTGATTGCCTGGCCAAAGTCCTCCAGGGAGGAGGCTGGGCCATGGGGGAAGCCAACTACCTTCCATCCTCCCTTGTCTCCCAGGTGATGGAGGCCTTTGAACAGGCTGAGCGGAAGCCAAAGCCTAACCCCAATCTGCTCTTCTCAGACGTGTACCAGGAGATGCCCGCCCAGCTCCGCAAGCAGCAGGAGTCCTTGGCCCGGCACCTGCAGACCTATGGGGAGCACTACCCCCTGGACCACTTTGACAAGTGAGGCCCCAACTACCCCAAGAGGTAGTCCCACTCTGAGCAGGGTGCATAGGGCTGATAGGACACTCCCTGTTCTCCAGCCAGCTCCCCTAAAATACACAGAGGGGAGGCACCTCACACAGTCGGGGGCATCTTCTGCTTCCCATCCCTGTTCCTCCAGGCAGCTCCATTTGGGGGCAGTGTTTTCAGCCAACGCTGAGGCTGTCTTCCCCTTCATCTGTTACAGTGCCTTCTCCCAGGGGCTGGGCCAGGGCCTCAGGCCTGGAAGCCCCTCTATCAGGGCTGGGCACAGCTGGGCATGGCAGGGCAGTCCTGCAGCTAGCCCAGTGAAAACTGGTCAGCATAGTGAATAAACTGTGGCTCTACATTTGGCTCTGTACCTGCTCTGGTCTGTTTCCTGGAGTTGGGGGTGGGGAAAGAGTCCAGCTCGACTGATTAGGCACACCCCAGCTTCTCCACTTTAGGTAGGTAAGACCAAAGACTTTGCAATACCTGCTCCCCCTGGAAACTTGTGGAGGTGAAGGGTCATCTTGGGTGGTTGGAGGTGGGAGACAGTCACCTGCTCTCCCAAGGTTGTCCCAGGATGCCCATTGGAGCTGGACTGGCCAGGAAGGGGAGTGCCTAGTGTTAAGGTCAGGGCATGGCTGAGCTCTGCTTTGTACTACTCTGGGGACCCCACAGACTCAAAAACAACTCTAGGTATGAGAGTGGAGTGCATATTTTTCAAAAACAGAAAATAGACAAAACAATCTTCCACCTCATCCTCCCTGGCCATGGAGGGCTCAGGAGGGGCTCAAGCAGTCCTGATCTGCCTAGAGCCTCACATCCAAGCCTAGAAGGAGGTCTGGGAAAGCAGGTACCCAGGCCCAGCCAACTCTGGCTCCCCACCCAGGCTCAGCACTGGAGCTGAGGGTCCTGCAGCTGTCTCCAGAGCCGAATGTTATCCTGGGGGCTGAGGGGCCGCACCAGCAACAGGCCTTGGAGAGCACAGGGGTCCATGGTACGGTCTGCTGGCCAGGCAGTATGGAAGCCTGGGTGGGCCCGGGGCACCAGGCCTAGGGCACGAAAGCAGAGGCCAGTGTAGACATCATCAAAGGGGAAGGGTGCCACACGGGCTGCCGCCTGCAACAGCCAGGGAGCCAGGCGCCCTGCAATGACATAGCCACCCCCACTTGCATAGGCTGGGTAGCCACCTTCAAAGAAGGACCCAGGCACATAGAAGGGTCTTCCAGGCTTCCGGAGGGGTTTGGCTTGGGTAAAGATCTCACCCAGGTAGAGGCTTCGGGCCCAGGTGGGCGGCAGGGCCTTCAGGTGATCCAGAAGGGCAGGGATGTTCACGAAGGCATCGTCCTGAGCTTGCAGGATAAAATTTACACTGGGACAGCTGTGGCCTAGCCAGGCCAAAAACAGCAGGTCTTTGAGTGTCCTGTTGTAGGGGACATCAATGAAGTTCCACAGCAGCAGGTCACTGTAGCGCTGGCTCTCCCAGGCTACCAGTGAGCCTAGGTCAGGTCCCCCCTGTCCCAATGGCGACCCCAGCAGGAAGAGCAGCCGAATCCCAGGAGCTGTGTTACCCCATGTCTCCCTCACTGCCTGTCGTTCTGCAAAACGTCCTGGTTCCGACTTGACAGCCAACAGCAGGTAGGGCTCATCCTTATCAGAGCAGCTGGCCACATGGCTAGCTTCACCTGCAGGCAGCCATTGCGGGAAGCTCCTGCAGGCTGCAGACAGCAAGAAGTGGCGCAGGTCCTCAGGGTAGGAGGCAAAGTCAGGGATCTCGGCGGCAGCAGCAGTCCCCCAAGCCTGGCAGTCCCCACCAGGCAGGGTCCCCAGACGCCACTGCTGCTGGTTCCAGTAAGCTGAGGGCAGTGGGCCAGTCTGGCCCAGGCGGACAGAGAGGTTGGCAGGCAGGGTGGGCTCAGTGCTGGCTAGCGTGGGACTGGGTGGAGTCCCCCGGGGTCCTTGGTAGGCCTTGCTGAGTCGGGACTCAGATGTCCACTCAATGTACACTTTGAGGGCCAGGAGTGTGAGCAGCGCTGACAGGCAGAGCAGACACTTGGGGCAGCGCATGACCTGGCCCAGTGAAGGGGCCTCCGAGGGAGCTGTAGGGATCCACAAGGAGCCACATAGGCCTTTGGGTTGTAGGATGGGCCTCCAGAGAGGTTCCAGCAGGGGCCCAGGCAAGCAGCCTCAGTCTCCCACAGTCCCAAGCTACCCCATATTGGCTTTTCTCAGCTCCTGACCGTAGGCAGCCCTCCCC